GGTCGGTTATCCAGAGGGAAGGGGAGATTGACGAGGATGTTACACACCGTATTGGGGTGGGGTGGATGAAGTGGAGGTTAGCATCTGGAGTCTTGTGTGATAAGAGAGTGCCACCGATACTCAAAGGTAAGTTTTACAAAGCGGTACTTAGACTGTCCATGATATATGGAGTTGAGTGTTGGCCTTTTAAGAACTCACATATCCAGAAGATGAGAGTAGCAGAAATGAGGATGTTGAGGTGGATGTGCGGACACACTAGGATGGATAAGATTAGGAATGAAGATATTCGGGAGAAGGTGGGCGTGGCTCCCATTGATGACAAGATGCGGGAAGCGCGACTCAGATGGTTCGGACACGTACAAAGGAGAAGCTCAGATGCCCCGGTAAGGAGGTGTGAGCGGCTGGCTTTGGAGGGCACGAGAAGAGTTAGAGGACGGCCTAAGAAGTATTGGGGAGAGGTGATCAGGCAGGACATGGCGAGGCTTCATATTTCCGAGGACATGACTCTTGATAGGAAGTTGTGGAGGTCGAGTATTAGAGTTGTAGGTTATGAGGTACATAGTTGAGTCTCCCTTATTTCGTACCTTTGTGAGGCTAGTCTGGTAGGATTTTTGTCGATGTCAACTAGTGGCAAGGTTGTGTCTTACTACTCTTTTGTTTTCCATAGTGTCGGGTCTATGTATTGTCTATCGCGTTTGCTTTGCATCTACTTTCTCATTTTCATGATGTTATTTTTCCTATGGTTTCTATTGGTGATAATGATATTGTCTCTTTTCGTCTTCTTGAGTCGAGAGTCTTTCGGAAACAGCCTCTCTACTCCCTCGGGTAGGGGTAAGGTCTGCGTATACACTACCCTCCCCAGACCCCACTAGTGGGATTTCACTGGGTGGTTGTTGTTGTTGTTGTTGTTGTTATTTGTCTGTCCTGTTTGATTGATGTCTTATCTTTTCCATTACACTTTCAGGAAGTTATGGAAGACCCATATATAGCAGCAGATGGTTATACATATGAAGGTGATGCAATAAAAGGATGGCTGTATAGCGGACATGATACTTCTCCAATGACAAACCTCAAGCTGGATACCTGCGATCTAATTCCCAATTATGCTCTCTATCGCGCAATTCAGGAATGGCAGCAACAGTCCTGAAACTCATTAGGGTCTATAATGCCTTTTACAAACAAAAACAGCTACAAAGTTGAAATATACACTGAAATTACAAAGTTAGCCATACCTCATGGTAGTCCCACTGAGTTAATGCTTGGATTAAGACTTATTTGAACTTGTTAGGAAACGTATACAAGTCTTACTGCACATGTATAGATTTTATCAATTTGTACATTGCATACTACAAATATAGAGCAAAAGGACGAATCCCCTGTTCTTCAGTGTGTTTGATATGACGGAAGTTGTATATTTGGGAGAATATTTTCCTTGATTAAATAACTTTCCTGTATTTGTTACCCTGAATTGCTGAATATGTTCTCTTGGGAAAAAATTTTCCAGTATTTTGTTACCTTGAGAAGGGGAGCCTTGGCGGCTTGGCGTAACTGGTAAAGTTGCTGCCATGTGACTAGGAGGTCACGAGTTCGAGCCGTGAAAACAACCTCTTACAGAAATACAGGGTAAGGCTGCGTATAATAGACTTTTGTGGTCCGGTCCTTCCCCGAATCCCGCGTATACCGGGAGCTTAGTGCACCGAGCTGCCTTTTTATTTTGTTACCTTGAATTGCTGAAGATGTTTTCTCTTGGGAAAATACTTTCAACTGGACAAAAGTATTTGCCTTTACAAGTAGTATCACCTTTACTTAATATAATTCTCTTAAATTAATTCCGCATGATTTATTTTACTCACAATTTTTATGATGTACGCCCACACGCTCGTCACTTAGCATGTGCGTCACCTCCAAAAATTGATATAACACAAAATTCAGGAATTCATACCCTCAAAACCAAGTTTAGAAATGTTACTTACCTCAAACCGTGTAATTCTTTACTCTGCTATACCCTTGCATCGCGAATCGGTATCCGAACGGCTCAAATCTGGTGTGTGTGTGTATATATTGGAAATAAAATATGGGGTCACAAATTATGATTAATTTGATTTTCACTCAATATTGGATAGAACTCGACTAATCCAAATTCGTGCTTGTCCCACTTGCGCAAAGTGCACAAAGCCACAAATTATCATTATTACCCAACGTATGAAGTAAGTCAAAAAAATTTGGAATTCAACAATAGATAAGTAAATATATATAGTACTCCCTCCGTTCACTTTTATTTATTTATTGTGTACTTTACATGTCCCTTAAGAAATAATAAATAAAATACATAATTTATCATAATACCCATATTAATTTATGTATATTTTTAATAAATTTGAAAAAAATTTGAAATGAGTAATTAATATATGCTAGAAATGATAAATAAAAATAAAAATTTATTTTTATATGTTAGAAGTGACAAGTAAAAGCTAAAATTTATTTTTAGAATAGTTTAAAAAAGTACGGAACACATTTTGCTTTCCATATAGTTGCCCAAAAGGTTACATATTTTTGCTCCTTTACACCATATTCTCCCTTTATTTTCTCACACTTTCCCTACTTCTCACTCTCCCTCCCTTTGGTCCGTCAGCAGATTTCGCCGACTCCTCCTCTCCTCTCCCAATATATATATAAAGGCTCCAGCTATACACACATTAATACATATATATTCACATAGTCTTTTTTTCTCTCTACCGGCGATTTTCAATCCCTCCGACCGCCGGTGATCCCTCGATACTTTTGCGGCACTGGTATGTATTCTAAACTCTACTAAGGAGTATTCTTTTTCTATGTTTTGTACCGGCACGTGCCGATCACGGATCACGTCACCTCAAGCCCTAATTCGACGCACGTTTTCTTTCTTTTTAATCAAGTTAGCTCTACTTTGATCTGATATTAATGTACTTCTTGTTATTGCTTTGTTATTTCATTCATATCATAGAGTCTTATTTATTTTTATTGGAACTTTATTAGTTCTATGAGTTGCTTTACTGTGTAGAAGTTGCATAACTGTATATTTTTTTTATAGCAACCTAAGCAGTGTATTAAACTACTGAAGAAAGTTTAACTTTTGATGCGCTAAATGTGAATGCGTCAATCAGTAACTATGATTCTCATTCTGCATTGGTGATGGAACGGGGAGCTTTTTTTTAAAATTAATATTCTTATTCTAAATGCTGTTGAATCCAACATTTGAGCCCGGTGTACAAATTTATCTATTGTAATCCGCCTCTATGAGTACAAGGTGGGTTGCTCTAATGGTAAGCGCCCTCCACTTCCAAAAAAGAGTTTGTGATTTTTTGTGAGTTCGAGTCACCCCAAGAGCAAGGTGGGAGTTCTTGGAGGGAAGGACGCCGAGGGATTATTGGAAACAGCCTCTCTACCCCAGGGTAGGGTTAAGGTCTGCGTATACACTACCCTCCCCAGACCCCACTAGTGGGATTATACTGTGTTGTTGTTGTTGTAATCCGCCTCTATGAGTCATTGTTGAAATCATAATTGATGGTGAATGTTGCAAACCTCACTATTGGGAATGGTACTTTGAGATACAGTAACAAGTTTTGAATCCCTCGGCTTTGGTCCGATGGTAAGATTGCCACACGTAATGTGTGGATTAGGCGCATGTCTTAGGTTAGAACTTAGAACACTGCCGTCTGCCGTAGACAAAAGCTTGGTATTTAAGTGGAGAAGGGTAGAGGAACAAGACCATTATCGACCAGGTTGTAAATTGTGCACCCCTGGCTTGGGTATTTCTCGGTTATAAAATTAATAAGTTTTGAAACATTATGGTTAACAATCCTTAATGTATGTATGGTTCCTAACCATAATCTTTAGGAATCTTACTTTTTCTTTGATAAAGTAATAATGGAAGGAAGATCTTACATAAGAAGGATAATATGAAAATAGGCTCTGTTGTTAGAAATAAGATTAGGTGAGCTTCTAGTTTTGACAACTGATTTCATTATCTAACATTTATGTATCTTGGCTGATCGTATGGAATCCTTAATTGTATTGGAAAGGATGGACTCTAGTGTCTTAAAAATACATTTGAGATTTGGTTGCGATATTTAAGGAAGTTATTAAGAAAACTCTGTTCTGTATAAACAGTAGATTATTTTCATGGAGATGGTTAACAAGACTGATTATTTGATGGCGCAAAATTTACCTCTTAGTTTCTCTTCTACTTCTGCCCACCTATTCAGTAAGCATACAGGGTAAGGATCTTCAGGATTTCAAGTTAGTTGAAGGGACTGGTGTACACTTCACCATAAAGCAGTAAACCTTTTTCTTGTTGAGATGTTCAAGGAGATCCAGCTGTACCAATAAAAGTCAACTGTACTTGGCTTTTTATGAGAGACTGCTGCTCGAGATCAATTACATCTGTACTATAGAAGGTGAAAAATTGATAGGTGTTGTTCTTATCTAGCCTTCTTTTAGTGACCTGTTGCCTTTTAACCAGTAAATTTTCTATTTATTCATTTGTTGATAGGATATCTGCTTTTTCAAAACACTTCTTCTAGGTGCATTAAGAAAAAGAAAAGAAAGAGAAGTTTCGCTGGTTGAATGCTGGAAAAACCATCTTTCTTGCATGAATTGCTTCAGTTGTAAAACGAGCTAGCGTCACAGAGTCAATTGCATCATAATTGAAAGAATATTTTTAAATCAGTAACGATTGAAAGAATATTTTCAAACAAGGTAGTAGTTGTTGATAGTGGAAGTAGGCTTGCTAAATAATTAAATACAATTTAAATATGCACACTTGGGATCAGCTTCTCATTTAATACTCGAAAATTAATCTGTGAAATGAGCAATGCATGCCTAAACTTCTAAAGCTAACAAGGTAGATAAGTTGAGTTTGTAAAGCTAATCACCAGGTTTGTTTCTGCTTCAATGTAGGGTTTGAAGTTTTTAGCTAGCCAAGGCTATTCAGAAAAACTTCAAAGAAGGTCTGCATCTTTGGATTAAAGGTCAACTTAAGAGATTTCCAAAATCCTTTAGAAGTGAACCTCTTTTTGATTAGTGAAATAAGTATTATGCCTGGTTCCCGGATAGGAAACAAATCAGTACTAGAATATCTTCTTCTTTATGATGATCTCAGGTGCCTGCCGAAAGTAATTTATGCTTCTGAGTGACAATTAGTAGAATAACTGAGATAAGTATCGGAAACAGCCTCTCTGCCCTTCTGGAGTAGGGGTAAGACTGCGTTTGTTGACTTACCTGATTAGGCAAGCCATCTTACCCTCCCCAGGCCCCACTTGTGGGAAACTACTGGGTTTGTTGTTGTTGTTGTTTTAGTTTCCAGATGTTTTGGATTTGCTATATATCTGTTTTAGGTCAGGATGTTTTAACATTGTGGCTGTTCATGCAAGTAATTCTGTTTATTCTTCTTTTCTGTCCATTTGTTTGCTGTAATTTTTCGTAACTCAGTGGCATTCTGTGATTGTATCTTCAATTTATGAGTACAGTTTCAAAAATTTTATTTTCAGTTTCAAAATTTATGAGTAGTGTCTCTTCCAGGTTATGTCTAAAGATACAAGTTGTGTTCATCTTTTACTTTTTTCTTGCATCTCTTTTTATTTCTGCTGTAAAAAACACATCTTTTGCAGTTCTTGCCTGCCATGATGAAGATATAATATATCTACACAAGCCCAACTCAGAAACATGCATGTACAGATATATCTGACTCGTGCTGCAGAATATGCGATATTAATTTGGATTGTTGATATCTAATTGATAACTTCTTCTGCAGTTCAATTTTATGAGCCATTAACTGAGAATACATGTCGGTTGCAAAGCTCAGAATAGGTGCTACTCCAGCTGCAATGAAAGCCGATGAGGGAAATGATTCGCTTGATACTTTGATTAGGCAAGCCATAGGCAAGGAGCCTCTTTTTTCTTTCTCAAGAACAGGGGATGGTCCTGTCCAGTGGTTTCAACTGCTTCATGGTTTAGAGCAGCAAGGTAACAAAGTAACGTCTAAAAATGGCTGCATTCATAGCATACATCATTTCTCTAGGTTTTTATTAGATAAGTGAGTCAGGTAAGTCACCAATATTTCAGTAGGTCTGAAAACCTTGTGGTTGTAAAGAATGTCAAGCTTTTGGCAGTACTTGTCTTTTGTGTGTTAGAGGCAGAACCCTTCAAGTACATGAAATGGACTAAAAATTGGTTACCTATGGAGCTACAGTTGAAGCCATGAGGATTNGGTAAGTCACCAATATTTCAATAGGTCTGAAAACCTTGTGGTTGTAAAGAATGTCAAGCTTTTGGCAGTACTTGTCTTTTGTGTGTTAGAGGCAGAACCCTTCAAGTACATGAAATGGACTAAAAATTGGTTACCTATGGAGCTACAGTTGAAGCCATGAGGATTGATTTTGGTTTATGTGGTTCTTTGTGCAGATAATGCTGGTGGTTGGCCAATGCTAACACCGTTAAAACTTCAGAAGTGTGAAAAATGTTCTCGGGAATTTTATGCCCCTATAAATTATCGGAGACATATGCGTCTGCATCGCCGAGCTTTAAACTTTGATAAGGTATCTTTAGATGTCATTTTCCTTTATATTACTTTGTACTTTCAGAATAACAAGTTTGTTTTATTCCAGAAAGTTATAGGTTTACTGTTTGCATATGTAAACCACCTTTTTCCAATATAATTTCCATTCTGGTGACCTTTACAATGTTTTGTTATAAAACTTAGTGCAGTTGTGTTTGCTTGTCAATAATTTGAATGTGGGTGTGCTACATGTGCATCTTATTATTTGTTCACATTTTGCAGGAATCTCGCAAATATAGGGATCTGCTGGGAGCATTTTGGGATAAGGTACTCCCCTCTGCTCCCCTCTCTAAATTTTCTCTGTAGTGTTGTTCAGTGTCCTTTGTTCCATATGGCTATTTATGTTTGCATAACTACATGCAGCTCTCAGTGGATGAGATTAAGGAAGTTGTATCGTTGCATGATGTTTCAATAAAGGTAAGTACCAGATTCACTTTACCTGTCTTAGGTATTTGTTCGCCTGGAATTTGAAGTGAGTTTTCTTAACATGCAAATTTTGACCTTATCCAAAAAAAAAATGCAAATTTGAGACAAATGTGAAGATCATCTAAAATCAACCATTGATCATTAAATTGCTTGCAGTGACTGTAGTAGGATAATTGGTGATGTGCTACAAGGTGCTTCTTACATCTCTGACGTATATATGTGAAGTTGACAATAGTATATTTATCCTATGATTGTTGTTGTGATACTAATATTGTTTCCTTTTTGTCATTTTGTCATTTTGTCATTTTGTCTTTTTATTTTTTTTTGAGCCGAGGGTCTTTCGGAAACAGCCTCTCTACTCCTTCGGGGTAGGGGTAAGGTCTGCGTACACACTACCCTCCCCAGACCCCATTAGTGGGATTTTACTGGGTTGTTGTTGTTTGTTTGTTTGTATTCTGCATGTTCTACCTTTCTATGAGAAATTACAGCTTAATTCTTATGCACTTAGTTCTATTTCCCTTTATAGAGAGGTAGCAGGCTGATTATTATCACACAAGTAATTGTTAACTGTAGAGGTTAACGGATCTATTTTTTATTCAAACTATCTCTTTATTTCATATAAATGTCTACTCATGCTAGAAATCTCTAGCTTGTTTATAACAGTGTTATGAAGAGCGTGAAGCGAGGAAAAGCGACAAGCCCCTTTTCGCTTAAAGCGTGAAGCGAGAAGCGAAGCACTCGCTTTTTTGAAGTGAATCGGAATTTTAAAAAAAAATACTAAAATAAATATTGCGTAGACAACACATGTACTGTAAGAAAATGTTCAATACTTCAATGCAAAAACTAAAGAGTAGCATCAATGAAAGCACAAAATGAGCATCCTTTTTTTTTACAAGATTGTCAAATTCTTGTATTCCACTATCATTATTATATTCCACTATCATTATTCCACTAGCACAAAATGAACTTGAACTTGAAGAATGCTGAAAATGGGCTGATGTTGTGAAAAAAGACTCAGCTTTTTTATTTTTTTCACTCAAGTAACATTGGCTCACTTAAAAGACTGAAGCGCTCGCTACAGTCGCTTCTCGCTTCAGAGCCAGACGCGGACACTTCATCTGACCTACTACACTTCACAACATAAAAGCGACACAGCGGTCGCCTCGCTTCGCGCTTTAAGCGCCGAAACGAGCGCTTTTCACAACACTGGTTTATAATAAGCGTACGACTGGCGGTAAAATTTTCTTTAAAGTGACTGTTGGACTGTAGTACCCTAGAAAATTCTAACGTTTCATCTGCTGATCTTTAAACTTACAAAGGATCATTTTTGTGGTTGATAATGACTTTCAGGACCTTGCTGGATCTTCACTTGTTAATGACCTGGCAACATCTCTGCAAAAGATGGTGATTTGGGCTCATCCTCAAGATTATTATAAGGCTGGTTTAGCTTTGTTGGTAAGTAATCTATTTCAACTTCCTGTCAAGTGCTATCGATGCCCTTCCCGACAAAAGAGAAGTGAGCAGAAGAGCCAATAATGCTCATAGTTAATTTGCAGGAAGTCATCCAAGGTAAACCTTCCAAGCTTCCAATTACCTCTCAGGAATTATTTAGCATCCTTGATGATGCTAGCGAAAAAACATTTTTATGTGCTGGCACAGCCGAGTCGGTGCAAAAATATGTTTTTGACGGGTATGCTGCCAAAAAAGGTCTCGAGTTGAAAAACTTGGTTGCTTGCGCTAGCTTCCTTTTTGAACAGAAACTGGTAGTTCTTTCTCCCCTACCTCTTAATTTTTTTTCTTTATTTCTTGAGAACTAGCTAGCTTTATGTTGTCTGTGTGTACATGTCTATAGAAATATTAATGCCATGCACCAGCATATTGCATTGAAATGAATGTTTCTAGGTTAATTATATTTTGGAAAATGCTGATAGTTGTGCAAAGCATTCTCTGTTTATTTTTTCTTTTTCTCGTATCAGACCGATCCTGTCCTTTAAACCAACATGCACAGTGACTTGTGTCCTGTTATGCCCAGGTAAAAGCATGGTTCGCAGACAAAGATGCTGAAGCTATGAGATGCCAGAAGTTGCTTTTTGAGGAGGAAGAAGCTGCTCAAAAAAGGTGAGGCACTGTTTATTGTATTTCTCGTTCTCTAATATTGCCTTTTCATGTGTCCCACTAGGAATTATGGCTTTTACTGATCATCATTTTTCTTATGTTCTTAGTAGGTAGTCAATAATTGATAAAGAGGTATTCTTTTTATTTTATGGAATGAAGTGTTAGAAAACGTTTACATACTCGAGGTGTGACTATTCTTGTAAACAGATTTATATGTTGTGAAGTTGTGCTCTTGGAGTTTATTCCCTCTTTTCTTGAAGCATATTACTTTTCATTTAGTTCTCAATCCCAGAAATGGTATACATGTTTTGAGGACCGGTGATGTTGACATTTATATCCCTATTAATGTGGCCAATAATTTCCTCTGGTTTCATAGCTACTTGTTTTGTTACTTGTTCTTGGCCAACTGATTTGTAAGTCTGGAAAATAAATAATGAGGAGATTTCAATAGCTTTTTTAGCATTTCCGGAAGGGGATAGAGTGAGACTGAACCAGCGATTCTTGTTCATAGTTGTTGGGAGAGTTCTCTTCATGCCATGTCAAGAGTTCGAGGCTGAAAGTTGTCAGCAGAGAAAAAGCGATAGAGTGAGACACAAATCAAAGGGGAAAATATTCTACATGCTTAACAACTCCTAGTTACTTGAAAGATTTGTTATCACTTACATAAAAATAAAATAAGATACATGATTTGCCTCCGGGGCATTGATCTAGTGGTAAGAGCACAACATGTGATGTAGATCATCGTTCAAATCCTGCTGGCTGCTGCAGACAAATGCTTGATATTTAAGTATAGAAGGGTATAGGGGCAATGCCCATTATTTATTGAGTTTAGAATCGTCCGTCACTAGCCCTCGGACTTTACTCAGTTATCAAAAAAAGAATAAGATACATGATTATATTTTCAGTTGTGCAGTTACAGAAACTCATTTTCACTATCATTCTTGTTTTCTTGTAGACAAGCTGAGCTGTTGGAAAGGAAAAAGCTGAAAAAGCTTAGGCAGAAGGAACAGAGAGCAAGAGAGCAATCAAATTGGGAAAGGGGAGATTTGGAGGTACCTGCTGATTCTTTTGAAGGTCCAATAGCAGAATCTTCTGTCCGTTCAGCGGCAGCATCTGAATCCAGTTCTAGTACTCCCGAAGTATCTGATGATATTTCCTCCTGCCTTGAACTTGTTCAATTCACTAACAATGAAAATATGGACATTGAAGCCCAACTAAATATCTCTCATCCACACCTGGATCTGGTTGAAATTCAGGATGTTGAACCCCCTCCAGTGTCTGCAAATAGTCGACGGCATTTCCCCCACACCCAGTGGCAAGTCGCAAAATCACAAAGAACAGGGAGAAATGGTTTTCGTAACAGCCAGAATCATGAAGTACAGAAACTTGAACCAGTACAGAAGCATGGAGTTATTAAAGACCGAGGTGCCCCTGTTAATGGCAGTAAGATTTGGACAAGAAAAATTAGAGTGCAAAATGGTGAGCGCTTAAGGCTGGATCCGCAGAAAGAGGCAATTGATCAAGATCAGAGTAACTGTGAAGTGATGATTGGTTCTATATCTGTTCCAATGAAAAATTGCAGCACACATGGACAGGGTAACTGTCCTACTGTCGAAAAAGATAACTTTGAAAGCACAGAGCCAGCCATGCTACAAAAGTTAAATCATGTACAGAAGCCAGCAAAGCATGATGTTCTTCAGGATGGGTCAAATGGAGCAGCTGTGAAGCTCTGGAGGCCTGTGAGCAGGCATGGAAGTGGACAACAAGATCCTGGAGAGGATGTGATCTTTGTAAAGTTGGACAATCGGACTTCCTCCACTGAAAATAATTTGCGATTATGCTCGAGGGACAACCCTACTGGCAAGAGTAAGAATTACACATGTCAGGTTTCAGATGGAAATGTTTTTCAAGGTCTGGGATTTTGCAGTGTATCTGCGAAAGCTTTTCTATCTCAGAGTATGTTTCTATGCTCTTATTCATCTCCTGTTCTAGGTTTTCTACCTGCTTATTATCACCTTCATATTAGTCTGACTGGTCTGAATAAATGTAGGATGGAAGGAGGCAATCTCGGGAGATCATGTTAGATTAGTCCTTTCCGATGACACTGAGGTTTCAGGACAGTCCGACATGCAAAATGGCAGTTCAGAAGCAGCCCTGTCATATGCTGATCAGGACCATGGTATTCTTGTCAAAGCTGACAACCAGCAGGCAAATACTGGAGATCTTAGTTTTTCGTCCAATGGCAACACTAAGGTCAAGTTTAGGCAGAAGCCTGATAAGTCTACTAAGATAAAGTACATTCCAAAGCAAAAACAAAACCCATAATTTAGTAGGATAAAGGTATTTCATGGTTATACCAGATTGTGCACAGCTTTTACAGTCCAGCAGAGGTTCCGTTTTACCTGTGGTCTTCTGTCAAAGAGTTGAAGGAAGGTTTTCTAGAGTATACAGTGCCATTCTCTTATTGGAGTTGTCGCCGCATTATGGCTAGGGTAGTTTTCTTTTTGCAGCTTCCAATTTTTCTGTAATAAGTTGGCTTTCTAAATTTTTTGATCTCAGTGCTCGTCATTTTCTGCCGTTGCCGCTCACCAAATCTCATGTTTTCTCGGACAATATATGAATATAGGATCAATTGATAAGATAGTCCCAATTATTTACTGAACAATTAGATTAGCACTCACTCTGAGCTTCTTCCAATTTATTTTTGGTTCAGTTAAGATCCCACTTGTGTGATTATACTGGGTTTGTTGTTGTTTACTAAGGGATAACCTTCTTGCTACACCTGCGTATTCAGGCTCCCACAGGATACTCGCATTCTTTAGTTCGCTGCACTGGCTGTTGATCTTTTTCTATCCTCCTAAGAGAAAATATGAAGAAGGTTCATTCCAACTTGTGCAACATAATTCCTGACGACTTGACAATACGGCCAGTCTTTTGTTGCCCAGCTTAGAATACATACTTAAGTAACTGACTAGGATTGATCTGTGTCTTCAGTTTTCATGGGGAGGCTATTCAGATTGGTCATGTTATAACGGATTAATATCATTATTACACCAGTTGTATAATTATGAATACTCTCATGTTCTAGTCAAATTTAACTGATGTGGAGTTTAAGATTAAAATGTTGAACAGATTATCAAATACAATAATATAAAATGATAATAATAACTGATGTTAAACTCAATCGCTAGAGATGAGCAAAGTTTTCAGCAGAGTCAAATAGATAACTTGTTGGAAATGTATTTGGTTGTCTATGAGCATCCCTGTGATAAATAGCCCTTAAACACTTCTTTTAGATATTTTTTTCTGAAGTTAATTTTTTAAGGATAAATAGGAAAGACTAACCAATAGGAAAGAATGTCTAGTTTTACTTTTTTAAAAGGTCATTATTTTTTAATCATCTGCTGAAAAGTTGAATTTCCAATGCATAACTCACGGAAGTAACAATAGTGATAACACTCACGGAAAAAGGGGGCGAAAGAATAAACTCACGGACGCAGTCACTCGACAGGCCACAACTCGACCGCCGAACGATATGCCTCCTTAGTAGCTTCACACATTTTGACCAACGACAAATGACTTAGCTATCTAACAATCACATTTTAGGGCTATACATAATTTGGTAAATATCGAATTATTATACTAAAATTAAAAATTTTAATATTTGGTATTTAATATTTTGATATTCGATATGTTATTTGGTTTAAGTTTTAACAAAATATGGTATTATGTATGATATTTGATACTTTTAAATAAAATACCGAAGTATCGATATTGTACCGAAATATATATTATATTACACAAAACACATATTATTAATTATATCATAAATATAAAAAATTAAAATTTTATTTTCTTTTATTTTCTAAGTTCATCAATTAACTCTAAACAAGTAAGACTACATTTCTAATGATCAAATTTATTCCTTTATGTGCAGTTTTCTCTCTCTACGTTGATATTTGATGATTTTGGATAAAATTTTTGCCAATTAACATTTTATGTTTTGTACCTTTGAGTACTTTAATTAAGAATATTATAGTCTATAATTCGATACACTTGTTAGTATTCAAACCGAATAAATCAAAATCGAAAAAAAAAAAAAGTGAATCATATTAAATTTAATTAGGTACGATATTGATATAACATTTTAAGAAATTGAATACCGAAAATACCGAACTCAAATATCCAAATACCGTAGCATATCGACTTACGAACAACCGCGACATTCCAAAAATAAACTATTTATCCCCTCCCCAAAAAAAAATGCAACGTCCCCTCTTTTCAGCCACGTATTTTAGCCAGCACCTCCAATTGCCACGTGTACTTCCTTGTCCCCTTACAAGACAAAACTTCTGCAATTTTAACTGCAAGTGGTTCTTCACTTTCTGAACCAGTTAGTTCCTGATTATCTTCAAAAAAAGATCACCATATAAACGAATTTTACTTCAAATCCATCACCAAAAAAGTAACCAAGTAACGAAGTTTTAAAGAAATGTCAGGTGGGGTTGGTGTATGTAGTGACATTAGTTTACCCAAAGATGAACACATTCAACAAGACAATAATCAGACCAAATTTCCCAACAATTCCCAGAAAAAAACTCATCACCAAAACAGACGATTCTTCACTTTCAGACAACTTAACGCCCTTGCCGTTGTAATCGTCTTTTCTTCTAGTGGTATGGTGAGTGTTGAGGATTTCGCTTTTGTCCTATTTTCTCTAATTTACATGTACTTCATTTCCAAAATTGCCTTCCCACCAATTTCTCCTCAAACAGAACCCCCTGTTTTTAGTGAAAACAACAAGTTACTGACTCTTTACGTTACAATTGGAGCAATTGTGGGACTATTTCTTCCCATAGCTTATATTTTCGAAGGTATTTACGAGGGTGATAAAGAAGGTATTAAAGCAGCAGCGCCACATGTTTTCTTGTTGTCCAGTCAAGTTTTTATGGAAGGATTGGCATTTACTGATAGATTTTCGCTGCCCATACGTGTATTTGTTCCAGTTTTTTACAATTCGAGGAGGATTTTTACAATTATGGAGTGGTTGACAAGTGAAATTTCTAAAGTGGATCAAGAATATGGAGGAAATGTGAGGAGGTTGTATATGGGTAGAGCTTCAGCTGTTGCAAATATGGTATTTTGGTCCTTTAATTTGTTTGGTTTCTTGTTGCCTGTGTATCTTCCTAAGGCCTTTAAGATATATTACTCTGGCCGCAAACTAAAAGATTGAGTAATGTAAGTATTGTATTTCTTAGGCTTTTATTTTCATCTTCTAAAAGATTCAAGTATGTAAGTTATGGTGAATATATAAATGGATTTGTATTTTCTGTGATCTGTCTACATAATTTGATTGATCAAGAAAAGACCCATAGACTTATTTTTTTTTAACAAAAGTGGAAAAATTAAAAAAGACTTCCTAATTAATATTTCCCATTATAAACAGCGAGCACTAAGAGGGTTATGCACGGATTATAGTTTATCTATTTGTGATAAATTAATTACCATGTCTACTATCAAATTAGCTGGAATTTTTTTTTCTATGTAACTTGATAGTTGAAAATTTTAAACTGTCAGTATAGATTTTGTGTTTTTTCAATTTCTAGACGGATTGCTTTTGTTTTATTTTCTTTATGATAAAGATAGATGAACAGTTCATATGTGTCAGTCTGGCACCTTGTTCTTGCCTCTTTGAAATACACAATAGTAATAGCTTGTTTGGCCCATTTTTTTTGGAAGCTTTTAGATGGGCTTTTGAGGAGAAGCAGAAGCAGAAAAAAAATAATTTCTTGTCAAAAGTAATTTTTTGAGAAGAAGTTTTGAGAAAAATACACTTAGAAATATTTTTCAAAAGCTTAGCCAAACACTACTTACTGTTCAAAAGTATTTTTTAAATTAATTAGTCAAACACAAATTACTTCTAATTCTAAAGCATTTTTAAAAAAAATACTTTCTCAAAATAAATTGATTTTAAAAACTTGGCCAAACAGGCTATAAGTAGGTGTTGGGACATAAAAATTGTAGTTTTTTTTATAAAAAAAAAAATAGTATTTGGAAGTAAATTTAAAAATAATATTTATAATTTGAAATTATGCTTGGACTTTTGAAAAAATATTATAATTTTGTGAGTTTGGAAACAAAAAATTCTAAAAATAAATTATTTTTTAATTTTTAAAAAGCTTATTTTTGAATTCTTTTTAAAAAATTTAAAATTTTTTATGGACAAATATATTTTTGAAAAAAATAATATTTATAGACAAACAGGTCCAATTTTCCAGGCACAGGGTCAGGGGCGGAGTTAGTCTTCTGCTTACGGGTTCGGCCGAACCCAATAGCTTATGTGCAGACTTTGTATTTGTCTTAAAAAATTTATGAAATATGTATAAACGAAAGAATCCTGAACTCATAAACTTCAAATCATGGCTCTGCCTCTGCACAGGTATCAGGCTTGCCTTGTCTGTTTCCGGCCAGGAGAAAGATACTATACAACTACTATAAGATAAGCTTGTGAGTTAATATAGAATGGAGATCGCTATGACTCCATTATCCCTAAGCTGGTAAAGTTGTGAAAAAAGTTAATAACTACACCATAAAATCCTAGTAACTAAGTAGAATTCAATTACAGTTTTATTCAGATGTAATTTAGACAATAACCTACTGTTCTTTTAATCTTTCAAAGAATTTCGCACCGAGTGTAGTAGACCCGAGTGCAAGATTTCACTTCAGCACCATTTTCTGAAAGCAACTTTGGGAATAGATAGAGGGGAAAACATAAAAAAAAAAATAACCACAAGTTTACACTAAGTGAGCTCTCACGTTGCCTAGAACACCACACTTACGAGTTGCTCACATAATCCATCCCAAGCCTGAATAAAGGAAGAGAGTCGGAATAAGTTGACAGTCAGCGTAAAACTACTGTCATTCCCAGATGAATCCTCACAATTTATGATATTGAGGTTCAAACAGCCAATCCAACTAGCTTGGGATGGAGGCCTGGTTATCGTTTGTTTGTTAACCACAAGCTTAGACTAATTACTTGTACAGTGAAGAAACAGAAGCACGATATCTATTTTGTACATAATATACAGTTACACACCCTGGTGTCAAGTGAGGTATGCCAGCCATTTCATGAGAGAAATGGTCATTATACATTCCTTTTTAAGGGGGAAAAGGCAAAAGCAAATTTAAATTAAAAAATAAAAAAATAAAGCAAAGGGGTGGCGGGGGGAATTACAACAGCCATTTGAACCAAATCAGAGAAGATAAAAGAACAGGTTTAAAGAAATTTGGAATCTATTGCAAAATTGGAAATTGTGTCTGGAAATGCATGGCAAATGCAATGCAAGTTACCATAAACCACAAACAACGAAAACTTTCCTTCTATTTTGATATTTCCCTACACTTTGAGCACTCGGCTTGGCTTATCCAGCGACAAGAACTCACTTTTAGCAGCTTGACAAGAGGGTAGAACTTTACATGCAATGAACAACAAAACATTACCAGCCATCGTTGCAAACAGCGGAGACGGGCACGCTGGCATGTTAAGCTCAAGCTGAATCTAAAAGACGCATTATCCACCATTTCAACCATTATCCTCGGTCCACACCTGCTGCAAAGATTATAGACTCCCAATGAGACACAAGATTCTAGCACAAAACAGTCAGCTTTTTATTTCTCTTGCACAATGCAGACATCTGTTTTATCAAGTCGTCTTATATTGATTCGGGTGATTCTGTTTTTCTTTTTTTTTAGGGTGGAAAATGTTCAAGGAGAGGTGCAAAGCTAACAATCAACAAATAATCATTGTTCACAACCACAAACTAGCCACGAAGTTTAATACACATTCCCAGCTCTAGAAGCCGCGACTAATAAATGAAATGACAGGGCCATGAGAAAAATCATGCACGGAGCTACAAGCATTCAGACTAAATTACTTCCCTAATATGTCAACTCCAAAGAACCATTGAAACTCTGACTACAAAAAGTCAGCTGCAGCAATAAGACTACTTATAAGCCTAATTTCCACAGCAAAAATTTGAAATAAACTAGGTTAAAGATCACCCTGACTCGACCAGGAGAAATCGCTGTGGGAAATCAGAAATGTGACACACGTTAAACAAAAGAGATAGAGTTTTGATTTCAAGGAATGCTTTTAGTTCTTTGAGGGAAATGCAAACAAATCAAATGCTATACCGCATTAAATCTGGAACCATTTCTGACACTACCGAGGCATTGTCTCATTAGGTATATAATGAATGTCAGATACAATCATGGCAGCTCCATACTACGATATTCTTTTACGATTAAGATTCTACTATTTAATTCAACTTCTCAAAACAGCCTAAAAATTATTGTACTTGTTGGCATATTCCAATCACCTACGGATTGAATTCTTTATTTCACTGCAGCTCAGCAAGATCTTTCCTAAAGAATATTTACATTTTTTCTAAGTTCTCTATAAATGTTTGGTCTGTGGAATCTCTTGGGTAATGCCACCGACTGTTAGGAGCTTGTTGGAAAAGTGGCATAGTCAAAGAGTACCTAGAAGACTGAAGCAAATATGGAGAACCATCCCATTATGCATCTTCTGGACTTTATGGCTGGAAAGGAACCGGGCTTGTTTTGAAGGACATAGGGAGCACATTTTTAGAATTAGAAACAAATGTATTCACATNTGTTCTTTTTTTCTTTCCTCCTTTTTTGGGGGTGGGGGTGGGGGTGGGGGTTTAGTTATGCGCATAAAGGCTAAGTTATTAACCTTTAAGCCATGCAATATGCCCTGAAGTATGCAAATCCTTCAGTCTTGCCAGAAAGAAGGGATATCGATAGTTACTTATAAAAAAAAACAGATAGTTCCACTGAGCTTCTTAGATAGGTATGCAACCTCCGCAGAAGCCACTGTCAGTAAGTTCACTAAGCAACACAACAGTCCAGAAGAAGCAGAAGGAACCCAGCGAGAGAGAGAGAGAGAGAAGCCAAAAAAAACAGCTTTTCATGAATAAAAACTGTGCTTTACCACCAGAGAACTAGTCTTCCCTTCACCTAAAGAATCCTGCCAAGATCTATGAGAAAAAGAAACATAAACATATACTAAAACTCAACAATTTAACATCAGAAATGCAATCATGTCATATAGTAGAACAACACATCTATCTCTAGAACACTATACAAGATAAGCAAACCTGTCAATTTTTTCCTTCATTACTGGATCTAACTCATCATCCATATCAAAGTCATCAAAGTCGAGTTTAGATGGAAACGTTGCAGATGCCGAGTTTTGCAGCTTCGAATTTCTACTCGGAGAAGACACGTCGTTGATATCACCATTTAGGCAGCCAGATGCAAGGCAACTAGATTCCTGAGTACCAGCAAGGATCAGATCAAAATAAATAAAAGATAGTTCCGAGTAACACACTCTCCTCTCTTTTACACGCATGCGAGCAGAAAAAATAAAAGAAACAGAAAGAAACCTAGAGTCCACGAGATGCCAACCTTATTACAGTTTCCAGCTTCATTATTTGAAGAATTGTTTCTAGCTTGTTCTTTTCTCCCTCGAGTTTTCTTTTTATTTTTTGTTTCTCTCACTCCCTTTGAGTCTGCCAAAAAAAAGTACCATGATACAATTAAAAGAAGGAACTTGTCAGACACAGAATCAAGACCAAGGTTCTCAAAACAATAATGTTGGTTATAAATCATCCAATGTCAGGGGCTTGTAGAAATGAGAAGTATACAGTTCTGAGTTGACTGAAAAGCTAACCTATGCATGTGCATGTACTAATGAAAAAGTCAAATCCTTCAGACGAAGCTAGATTACAGTATTATGAGGTCCAGTGACCATACAGACTACAAATATGATGAATATGCAGCAATTTATTTTCTCTGATTATGCAGATATGCAGCAATATGTTTACTTATCGGAAAAAGAATTTATGCAGCAAAGAATTCATCGAAAGCACAAGAATGAAGCATGCCCATGACCATAGCTTGGGCAAACTAAAGATACAAACTATGACACGCAACTCCATCGATAAAGTTGCGTGCACTCCAAAACATGCTCTTAACCTTTCCATCAAGAAAGCATCCACAATACAGAACCGGAGAAATAATGATGTAGTGAAAAGAATTCACACCCAAAAGGTGACTAAAGATAGAAGTCGACAAACAATGATACATAGCGATGCCAGGAAGCTGCAATACAACTTCATCTAGTCATTAGCAATATATGGAAATTAACGTACGCAAATAGCTAAATTATACTACTTATATAACATGTAGAAATTAGAGCAACTCTACACCACAATGGAGGGTGTCAATGAAGTTCATAAATATACCTCCATCTCCACCATTTATGAATGACAAAAGATCATCAACGGATCTTTCATCTACACGTTGTTGTTCTTCCACCTCAACATTCTGGAAAATGTAAATGAAGAGCAGTTCCCCATTAATGAATTGATGCAAAACAAGAGTTGATGCATATACAATCACGCAATAATTAGCGTCAACTTAAGTAACCACAATTAAAGATTCAAACAAAAGCTAAATGTCAAAGCACCTTTAGTTTCTTTCGCTCATTCAATTCTTTTCTTTTTTTTGCATAGAGTCGATTTAGAAGGCGGATACGTGGATCATCCGTCATATTTCTTAAAGGCTCCAACTTCTCCTCCTGACGAAATACCACTTCCATGTAAGAATAAAAACAATATGGAAGTAGCGAGCTATCAAAGTTCTATGATAGCGAGACAGACCTCTGTTAGATCATCAGGCAAATGGAAAGTTTCACGTATTTCTTCGGGAGTTTTGCCTTCAATCACCCTGGCAAGTGCACGGCTTGTAAGGTCAACCACAGGCTTTAGTTGAAGGCTGTCAGCAGCAGAAGCCAATTCACATAACTTCTGGGTATCTAACCGGATGTACTTCTCATCAAAAATCTTGCGCTCCTAGATACGTAAAAGACAACTGTTGCACTTAGTGGAAAGCAAATGCTTGAACATCCTATTACATAAAACCTACACATAACATACTGAGCTCTGATTTTCCTTCATTGTGGGGAGAGGACATGCATTGTTAACAAGGAAGCAAGAAATAGACCTTATTAGAACGGCCAGTAACTTGATGGAACCGACAAAAATCCAGTATTAACCCTAAGACAGCAGCATTGACTCGTTCAGGAAGTACAACTGCATTATTTTTCGAGGATCCCGTGCTGTTTTGAAGTACTTCCCTGCATATCACAGGGCAATACATGGCAACCTCTTGCTCCACTTGTTGGATTGAACCATCAGCTGTTTGGAGCCAGATGTATGACTTCATCTGTACGGAAGAACCGCAAAGCAAATTAGCAAGAGTAATTTGGAAACGGTCACTTGATTGGAACCAAGAGTGGGTTGCTCTAGTGGTGAGCACCCTCCACTTCCAACCAAGAGGTTGTAAGTTCGAGTCACCCCAAAAGCAAGGTGGGGAGTTATTGGAGGAGGGAGCCGAGGGTCTATAGGAAACAGCCTCTCTACCCCAGGGTAGGGGTAAGGTCTGCGTACAAACTACCCTCCCCAGACCCCACTAGTGGGATTATACTGGGTTGTTGTTGTTGTCACTTGATTGGAACATATAATATGGGGAGCAGTGGAAATACACAAAAAATCTATGCCCAAAACTTGGACAGTGACAGAGGATGTCACACGACTTTCCCATGCAAAAGGTATCCAGAAGAAATAACAGTGTCTTTAAATAATAACACTTAATGGCAGCTGTCACACCTCCTTTTTCCCGAGGGGATAGGGAGTTTCAGAAATTAGGTGCTCACAGCAACTAAAATTATGCCACCAGTGCCCGCATTAGAGCTTCCCATTATCAGTTCTCCAACTGGATCAACGCTTACAACATTTCAGCGCAATGATCTATATAACATATCTTGTGTGGTGATGCAACATGGCATCATTAAACTAAGAAACACCTAACTCGTCCATGCAGCATCCATCTTTAAATCTAAAATATGTCTAAAAAAAAGTAAATCAGCAGAGCCAGTTCATCTTAACACAAAAAAACTGATATTCCCAAATCGTGGCATCTCATAATACCTTAAGTGAATGCAACTCACAGCCTGAAAGAGCAACTGATACAAGACACCCTTTAAACGGAATGGGATTGATTGAGGATAAAAGGAATAAAAATTAGAAGGGTGTCCAAAATTCCCATACATCATAACCACTACATGAGCTCATACCTCATGGTCTCTCATACTTCTTTTACTAGATAAATAAATACAGCCAAGTGTCGTTTGAACATAAAAATTTATGGTTTCTCATACCTCTGGTTTGACGATCGCCATAGGACCTCCCGACATGAGCTGCCCAATCTGAGAAAAACTGTTTATAGGCCTTCTCAGAACTAATGCAAGAATAAAGGTAAAATCTTAAAAAATGTAAATGTAGTGAATAAGACAGAAACTTTATTCATTCAGAAGACAAGCATCAGCAAAACCTTCGTAAGTAAACTTTTCCGAATTCCAATAAGACATGCACCTCCAAGGAGATGGTTTCATTAGTAGTATATTCCGCTCAAAATAAAAAACCGCAGCAAGTTGATCAAGTTACATTAATTAACGCCCCCCCCCAACCCAAAACCCCAAAACTCCATATATGAATCTAAAACTACCACCTGTCTCTCCCCCCCCCCAAAAAAAAAAGAAGGGGCAAAATTAAGAAGTAAAAAAGGAAAAACAATAAACAATCCCCACAAAAAACACTAGGTGATTTCTTTCCATCTACCTCAGCTTGGTGGACTTACCCGGTACCCGTGGGAGGTAGCGGGTACCCAGCAGAATAGACGAGGTGTGAGCAAGCTGGCCCGGACACCACCATCATCAAAAATTAAACAATCCCCAGAAATGAACATTTGACAGAGAAGTATCAAAAAACTTCAATTTTCACCCCAATAGTTACCAAATGAATAAACCCGTCAACATTTTCTCCATTTAACCCCAATGAATATCCACCAATTGGAAAACCATATAAAGCAACTCGATTTTTACACGAAATTAAAACCAAGAAACCAATAAAGAACCAATCTTTACTTTACAAAGAGGTAGTTATCAACAATTAACATAGGTAATTAAATTCTTCTTCTCTAACAGAAGTAATTAAACTCAAAATAAAAAAGTGAAAACGAAAATGAAAGGGCACCTGAGGAAACAATGTAGCCACCGTTTGAACAACACCGCAGAAATAAGAGATGGGGAAGACAAAACCCCAGAGGAATATATAGGGTTTTCAGATAGCAAGAAAATGGAAGAAAGGTAATTTTATTCTTTTTTTGGCTCGTTTAGGGTTTTTATTTTTTTTATTTTTTTTTATTTTTATTCTTCCCCGATAGGAGGGAGAACAGTTTCTGTAATTGTATGTATATATATCTGGTTTCTGTTTCTGTTTCTGGCACGTGAGTGTCAATGGTAGTTTACCAGATTCGCACGGTTTAGGAATTAGGGCTCTCTATCTCAACGACAATGGTGGCTGCTGGATTTACGAGGGAGCTACTGGTTAACCTCTTTTACTGCCAAATATTATCAACATTTCCTTTTTATTTTTTTCATTTGTTTTCTGTCCGCATTTGGAACTTCAACTATTAAAGAACCTTTAAAGAAATTAACTATGAAAACTGATAGAAAATTTCTATACATCTCTATCACAATTTTTATTATATTATAATTTTCTTTTATTTTTCCTTATCATATTATTTATTATTATTTTTATTCTTTTCTTGTGAAACAAAGTAGATAGTATGAATATTGTGGTAACTTCAAAATATAATAGCCAAATGGAGCAAAATAGGTTATATTTCATGCACATAGCTTAGTTTGAAATTGAGGCGTAATTGTCTTATTTTAAAGTTGATATACAGTGGTTAATTAAATTGTTCTAATTATGTCCAAAATACTACTCTCGGAAGATACTTCTTGTTTCATTTTTTCTCGATAAGCATCTATTTTATGTATAAATATTAGATTTTTACGTTTAAAAAAAGTAAAATAAAATAACTAACTAGTCAAATCTCAACATAACAAGAAAATGGGATGAGTAAAGTATATATTAATAAGTAATGTTACACCAGACATAAATTATTATTTATTGTATGTCTGGTGTAACATTACTTATTAATATACACTTTACTCATACCATTTTCTTGTTATGTTGAGATTTGACTAATGTAAATATACCCTAGTTGAACGTGCATGTTCGTATATAAACTTTACATTGTTTACTCTGATTTTAACTATACGAGAAAGTTCTAATGATCTAACTATTATTGAACCCTACTATAAGCCAAGCAACAAACAATTTTCCAATGTCTTAGTATTAGTTACTATGCAATGACCATAATTTTGCTTTTCAATTTGTCTTTTCGATCAAATTTAACTCTTTAAATGCTCATTGTCATCTATAAAAGAAATACTATAATGAACTCGCATTTAGTATTCCAAACGAAACATATATTTTAAAATTTTCAAATTGAATTACCTTGGCCACGTGCACAATTGAAATTTTACGAATGATTAAAAATATAACAGATTTCACAGTTAAATTATAATCACTAATTTATAGAATTTCTAACTTAGTTTTTTTTAATAATATTTCCTTTTTATTATATTTCTAAATGTCCTTTGTTGACAAGAAATCGGGTAAAATAATCTCCCACCTCCAATTCTAAATGAATTCAAATGCTTTTCAAATTAAATATAATTTGATTTAATCTCATGTCAATGTGGATTTGTATTATTTTATTTCCATTTATGCTCTATAGTCATTATTAAAATCCTTTCATAAATGATTTTAGCAACTTAATCTTCTTGGATTCAATAAATCTTCTTCACATTCTCTTTTCATAACGGTTTTCTCCCCATAATTTTTAAAGTGCCCAAGAATATTTTTCTTCACATAACCATAATATGTAAATTCAAATTTTTTAAGTTCTAAATTTTAAATCTTTTTATAACTCTCTTCTACCTCGAATTTTCATAATCTCTGTTACCTAATTATTACTTCTAGTTCAAATTGAATTCAAATGCTTTCCAAATGAAATGTTGTTTAATTTCATCTTATGTGATTGATAGATTTTGAATTATTTTATTTCCATATGTGTTCTACATTCATAATTAATATCCTTCCATGAACGATTTTAGCATCTTGATCTTCTTGGATTTCAGCAAATTTTCTTTTGTAGAATTCTCTTTTCATAACAACCATCCC